TTCATCCGAGTAAAACCATCTTTCTGATTAAACAATTTCTTCAGGTCGTCGACGTATAAGTTCGGCTTCTCTATTGACTCATCAGGAAAAACCCGGGATAACCATGATGGGCGGGTGATATGACGAGTGTACCGGCCTACATCATCGTGTCCGAATCGTAGACCAGTGATTAAGCAGAACTCCTTCCGCCCAAAACAAGTATACGCCGGTGGAAAATGAAGCCATATCTCTTCCTTACCACGTTGTATACTGTCGGGTAGATCGCTAATCATGGTCTGAAGCCACAAATGGGTCAAATTAACATCTCCACCCGGATGCTGTATTCTCAGCCATGGCCCGAAGCAGGTTTCCTCAAACAATTTTCTTTGTGCAGGTGAAAGCTTCGAAGCAATTGTAGTGGCTAGGCTAACTTTATTCCTTAATGTCAATGAAGCCGAAAAAAATTTCTACAAAAACAATAAACATACCAAGTTAGATATACCAAAAAAATAAACATAAAGAGTAGTATTTTATTCTTGAAACTAAAATTTGCAACACTATTTTGTCTTTTGGTTGAAATGAAAATCGCAACGAGAGAATGACTATCGCAACGTGGAAATAACTATCGCAACGAGAGAATCGCAACGCGAAATGAAAATCGCAATGCGATTTTGGTTTCGAGTTGCAATTATCTCGTTGCGATTTTTATTTCGCGTTGAGATAGTCATTTTCGTGTTGCGATTTTCATTTTCATGTTGCGATTTTAAGTTTAGAAACTATTCTTCTTCTGCAAATTGAAACTTTAATGGATTGCATTACTTCAACCAAAAGACAAAACAAAGACAAATACTAACTTCACAGGGTTAAAGACTAAACAGTTTAGCAGTATTGACAGCAATTGAATGAATTTAATAAGAAATCTAAGTGAAATGGTTAATCTATTATTGAAATTACCAGTAAACTTATCATCAATTTCAATATGAAAAACCTAAAATAATGCAAAAAATTTTAAAATAAAAATAATTAAAAAAGCTAACCCTCGAAGGTTGATTTTCCATTTCTGAATGATTGTGAGGGATTTCTGACCGTGAATGGTTGTGAGGGATTCCGCCGGAGATGGGGACGGAAATCTTCGGAGATGGGGACGGATTTTGTCGTAGAGAGTGAGAGATGGAGATGGGACTGAGTTGTGATTTTAGGTTTTAGGTTATGAGTTGCGATTACGGGATATACTGTGGACGGTTCAGTGTTCCGATAATTAATATTCGTGTTTGGAATTTGAAAATAAAATACGCGTAGCGTTTCTAATGGCGCTTTAAAAATCGCGTTGCGATTTACGGATACGCATTGCGATTTTACGTATTGTCGTTGCGATTTACGGATACGCATTGTGATTACGTATTCTCGTTGTGATTTACAGATACGCGTTGCGATTTACGGATACACGTTGTGATTTTACGGATACTCGTTGCGATAGTCAGAATCGCGTTGCAATTTATATGTTCGCGTTGCGATTTTCATATTCGCGTTGCGATTCTGAAAAATCGCAATGCGAATTTGTACTATCGCATTGCGATTCTTCATAATCGCGTTGCAATTCTGGGAACTGATTTGCGATTCTGGAGATCGCGTTGCGATTTTTATTTCGCATTGCGGTTTTGTTGGTCATTTTTTGTTGGTCATTTTGGCAAATCCAAAAAAAGTTGGTTAAAATCGTATATTATATGACATTTTTGGTCACTGAGGCGATTTTCTCTATTTTTAATGTTTATAATTACCGATATAGGTAAATCGGTAGAAAAAACTCGATAAAAAATAATATTTTAGGTAACACTTTACCAAAACTATTATTTTTTTACCGGATTCATTTATCTATATCGGTAATTAATAATAATAATAATAATAATAATATTTTTTGTCATTTTTACCAATTTTATTATTTTAAAATAATAACAAAACTGATATTATATTTTTTTAGTTGTGTATTAAGATTAACTCACGCGAGCATTTAATATGTTTTGGCACATTGATATACGGAATAAAATTGCACGCATATATTTATAATACTTATTATATTACAAATGTAATTATAGTCAAACGTGCACTACTTATTATATTACAAATGTACTTATAATCCGATGTGATATTAGCCCTCATATATATTGCTCTTATTATATTACAAATGTACTCATAATCAAATGTGATGTTAACTCTTTTATAATTTAATTCGATATTATCTGTTTTTAATATAATACGAGTTAATTGTACTATATGTCCCTAAACTATGATATTCATTTCAAATTAGTCCCTAAACTTTTAACGATTCTAATTTCATCCTCAAACTATACTTTCATTTTACATATATCCCCAAAGTTTTGAACATACCATATCATCCCCAAACTCTAACCCTCATTCTATATTGATCCTCAAACCTTTAAATATTCTAATTTCAACTTTGGAGTTTTGAATGATTTAGAGGGATATTATTGGAGTGATCAAAAGTTTTGGGGCTAATTTAGAATAAGGGTCATAGTTTGAGGATGGATTTGGAATGTTAAAAAGCTTGTGGACCAATTTAGAATGGGAGTCATAGTTGAGGGATGAAATTGAAATGTTCAAATGTTTAGGGACCAATTTAGAATAAAAGTCATAGTTTGGGGATGTATGTTGCCATTAACTCATATAATAATTAAATTTGATATGGGTTGAGTTTTGGCACTTAGCCATGTATGATGGATGTATCAAAGCTGGCCACCTTATTTATTCTTTTCCAAAACCAAAAAGTCAATTTTCACCTCACAAATTTACATTATTAATTTATTTATAATTAGATCTTCATCATCCCCGGAATTTATTTTTAGTCTCTATTCTCTATTTTGATATCTTTAGTTATTTTCTAGATTTTAAAATTTTAATCTCACATTAAATTAAAATCATTAAATTTTGTAATTAAAAGGGATTAAAATAAAATAGACTAAATTTACAACTTAGACTAATACAAGAGCTAATAACAAATTATAACCTAATGGTCATAAACATTAATCATTTGAGTTACAACTATTTTTTTTTAAAAATACAAGAATTAAAAATATTTAAGTTAAAATATGACAATTATATATATATATATATATAAAGCTTGAAGTTTTGAAGAAAAGAAATAATATGGTCCCTAAATTTATTTTATTCCCAATATGATCGTTAAACTGATAAAGTTTTTAATCTAATCATTTGACCAATGGAAAGCGATATTGAAAAAATATTACAATGCTAACATAGTAATTTACGAAGCTGATACGATAATCTATGGTAGACTATGGATGATGATGTGACAGTAGGACATGATTAAATCCTATAACATTCTGATATGATGCATATTACAATCTAAACGAACAAGTGGTCGAAACTTTATTGACGCATCAAAGATACAAGCTGAGTCCTGGCAATAACATCCTTTCCCCAAAAAACAAACACTTGAAACCATGAGAGGCAAGCCAACATTGTCGACAAAACTGAACCAGTAAAACAACTGCACTACCATAATGCGCACATAACATTCACAAGAATAATGCCGAATGATGACTCCCGAGTAAACTCACTCAACAAAGAGCATGAACGACATGGCAAAGACGACGTAGACACCGAGTTTCAGTAAAGGTACTTTTTACGGTGCTTTGTTTAGTTCCTATATCGAATCAAGTTGGCTAGTGATATCATCTCGAGCATGCATTCCATATGACTGGAATGGTATACTGCCTCAGCATGAAACACCTCCTTTAAATCGATATTGTCCTCTTTGGATGCCATGAACATCCTATGAACATTGGAGCTCTCTATGCAACTATGACATTGATTCATCGAGTTATAAGCCTATAAATGGAGGAGACTCATAACTTCTTATTAAAACAATCATACTTTTACTCAAATCAGCCCGAGTGAAAACAACATTTCATAAGTATGGAAAATCATGACCGGGAAGGCAACATTGTCAACAAAATTGCCCGAGTGAAAACAACTGCACTACCATAACGCACAGTATGCACTCAAAACATTCACATGAGTTTAGGATAAGTGTCATACAAGAGACAAATTGCGTCATCTTACAATCATATTTCTTGATTATAAACTACCAACCATTCATCATTGTAAATACAGTCAGTTTCTTCATTTGATTCAAAGCTAGCCACTTAAAACTAGAAAAGTGAGATTTGAATAAGCAAAAACTAAGATAAGGGATTAGAGACAAGCTAACAGAACTATTTATGGTAGGAAAGCACTTATATTTATAATGTTATCAACTTTGCCTAATACACCAAACAAAATCAAGACACGTCTAAATGCTTCACTAAACACATTTTAATCTGAAATACTAGCTAAGTCGAGTTTTAAAAGTTAATGCTAGAATCGACCAATGCAACAAATGACCTGAAGCATAAACTAGGATGTTGAATATTAGCATATATTGCAAGGCAAAAGTAGATATAAGAAATACCCAAATTGAAGATGATCAATTGTGCACTAAATGCTCCAACCATTCACCGACTCGAATTACTTTCCCTCTTTCTCTTTTCCCTAATAACTTTCTAATAGAGAGTCAGAATCCCTTCCCTTAATTTCTTGGTTAACATGGCCGTTTGTTTAGGAAATCTTCTTTGCCTAGGTAGATCCTATTCACTGTAATAATAAACTGACATATGAAGAACACTCGTGAATTAAGAGTAATATATCAATCAACAAATACATTATGTTCAACCAGTTAACCCAGTAATGAAATCCTAAATGCGTGGAATTACCGACCATAAGAGCTTTAAAGCTCGAATCCAAGGGCAAATTTTACATCACATAATTCAGGTTCTTCAATAAGCAAAAACAGTATCAATCAACAAATACATGATGTTCAACTAGTTAATCCAGTAATTAAATCCTAAAAACGCGGAATTACCAACAATAAGAGCTTTAAACTCGAATCCAAAGGCAAATTTTACATCATATAATTGAGGTTCTTTAATAAGGAAAAAACCCAAAGAAAGCAAGCTAAAGAGATGGTCTTTTTTATTCAAATTGTTCAACTAAATTGAAGAAGACTTAAGTAATAGCTAATAAAGTAATATTTTCACCTAAGATAACCAGGAATCTTGATGCGAATAAAGAGCGTAGTCATCACATAAGCAATAAAAATGGAGGAGATCCCCGCCATGGAGTACGAAACCTTGATACTCCTAGCCCTATTTTTATCAAGGGCAAGATCCAAGAGCACGATCCCAATGCCACCAAGCACAAACATAAACCCGGAGGAGAGTCCTTCGATGATGTACTGACCGTTGACTCGGCCCGGAAGGAAGACGACAGGTCGGACGGCGCCGGTGGCGGGGTCTTGGGTAGAACCAATGCCGGGGGGCTCCACGATGACATCATAGATGAAGCCCGAAACCACCATGAAGTAGGTGAGGAGGATGAGAGAAAAGACGGTCATGGCCGACGGGAGGGAGAAGGAGGGGAGCTTAAGGCGGAGGCGGGGAGGGCGGAGGAAAGAGTAGGGGATGAGTTTCAGGATGTGGAAAAATGGGTCCATTGAGACTTGAGCGGAAGCATCGACGACGGCGACGGTGCCAACGGACTGAGCATCTTGTTTCGGAGCCGTTCTTATTTTTTGACTCATTTTCCCTCAGTTTTTAGTCCCTTCTTCCGATCTGTGTATCACTATGCTTCTCTAGGGTTTGATGATCTGTTTGAAACAAGCTGGTAATAAGGGATTTTTTTTCATATATATATATATATATATATATATATATATATATATATATATTTAAATAGTTTCTAAAAAATATTTAGTTAATGTTAAATATATAAAATAGGTCAACAGAATTATTCACTTGAAATATTAATTAATTTTATTTTTTCTTCGGATATTATAATACTACTATTTATCTTAATATAATGATTATTACAATATCATTTTTACAATTTAAATCAAAATATTGGCATTAATGTTAAATGATTGGTTATTTAAAATTTGATTTCCATTATTAGTTAAAGGTGAGTATTTGAATAAATTAAATGAAAAAAATGAATTTATCGAATTTATAAATCACATTTTATCATCTAAATTTCATTTAATTGTTATAAATATTTATTTATGTTGATGTCTATCTATATGTGAACATAGAACTATTACGCAACACGACAATGAGTTATACTCTTATTGGTTTATGGTCAGAAGCCATATATTTTCCAGTTATAAAATTTTTAGTTTTGCATTATATGTTTATATTGATCCACCACAAATGCACATAAATTGATATTTGAAGTAGTATTGAATATGAGTCTCACTTTACTGAATACTTGGAGATTCGATTATTTTTTCATCAAGGGAGAGAAGAATCGGTTGAATGAAAATATAAATGAATTATCATTTTAGATCCTCTTGTGAACCAGAAGTTCATAAGATAATTCATTACAAGTTAACTGTCAGAAATATTTACTAACCTAATGAGAGTAATCAAGTCTCGTATACCAACTGAAAATGATTTAAATTTGAATTGAAATCCTAAAAGGATAACATGTTAGAGCAAAAAGAATGTAAACAATGCCCGAATCATGATAGTTGTATTAGTTTCTACGGTTAAAAAAATTCTCGTAAATGAAAAGTAGTATAAGACGGTCATATAGAGATAGAGGAGACGAGTAGAGACCTAAGACATATAATACAACTCTAGAAGAGTTTCAAGTACCTGAAAAATGAGATAATGAAGAAATCTCGATAAGTTATGTCATTATGAGAAAATGATGGAACCAAAATAGAAAAGTTGCCGACAACAATTTTACAAATACTATTTTCATAGAAGTAAAAAAAATTAAATGAGGATCTTGAATTGAAATCTATCCAGAAGTATAGATGTAAAAATAATTTGTGATACACGAAAGACGCTATTCAAGTGAAGTTAAATCAACTTCCAAAGCATGAACAAGTAGTCCAAACACATAAAGGTGTAACATAAGTAAGGTATAAATGAGTAGTCGTAAAATATACAATACGACTTTAAATTCATGGTGGATGCAATTATTTTATTACTTTGACAGTTATGAAAATTCTATAGCGCATCTAATGGTTTGTGGATCCATATATAATGATATTTATTCCTAAATGATTAAAATGCTATAACCATTTACAAATTCCTAGGAAATTTTTACACATATATTTGCTTAAATATTTAGATGGAATGAATCGATCTAAATGTATATGATATATATGAATCGATGAGAGCCTACTCGCTCATATGTCTTGATACAAACATAAAGATCAAGTTATGATAATTGTTGTATACTTTGAATTGAAACTCCTGAAGAGTTTTAAAATAGAATTCATGAAATTTTTCAAGAGTATCCTGATCTAAAGAATTTTAAAATCAAGTTTTGTCTCGACCTGTAGATCAAGTACTTAAATTAGATCAATTGAAAAGGTAATACATCAAAAGAAACAGATTTTTCTAAAGTTTCCTCCCTCATGATCTTCGAAAGAAGAATAAAGTAAATATTTGACGAATCAGTTCAAGTGGCAATTTGAGAAGATGTATTCATCGATATATTATGAGGGGGAGTAAATACACATACTATTTTTCTCTTATCCAAGGTTTTGTGGTAAGGTTTTGTGTAAGGCAACATGTTATATGTATTCTTTTCCTTCATTAAGAATTTTTTTCCCACAAGGTTTTTATCTTAATAAGGTTTTTAACGAGGCACATTATCTTCATAAACATCCAAGGGGAAGTGTTATGAATATTTATTTATGTGATTGTCTATCCCTATCTTTTATTTCTATCAATAACATAAGGTTTCGATATACTTTATTATTAGGATTTTAATATCAATTAAAGTTTTATATGATATCTATTCCTTATGCTTATTAATTGGAATTCAGAGAAAACATTGTATACAACTTAGATTGAGATAATAATACAGTTTTCTCCTCTTGTTCCTATATCTTTTGTTCTACCTGTTCCCATTATTATTTCGTTTCGTTTATTTCATAACATTAATATCTTTTTAATAATTGAAGCGAATTAAATATATATTCATTGAATCACGAGTGCCGCATCTAGCGATTTTCTTTGTTATTCCACATCGTAGGATTTTATCGGATGGCGAAGATTGCCGATTGTACTGACCCCTTTTTAATAATACAGTAAACATCCTATACTAACGACAGTTAGGCATTGTATCTTATATCACTAAAATTTCAATTTCAATTTCAATTGTCAATTTTAATACTTAATTTTAATTTTCGTTTCAATTATATTACCAAAACATTAAATCATTACAATGACGTAACTGATGGCTAACAACGTGACTAACGACTGTCTTCACAGGCACCTCACTAAAATAATGTTTTGATTTGAATAATGTTTTGATTTGAATGATAAAGATTTAATGACTCAATGGTATAATTGAAACGAAAATCAAAGTTCAGTGGTATAATTGACAAAATTAGAAATTCCGTGGTATAAACAATATAAAGCCTAAAGTTTGGTGGCATCTGGGATACTTTATCCCTTAAAAATATACACATACTTTGATAAAATGATCAACGTGACATGGACTTTTAGGAGTATCATTTTGTGCATATCAGTACAACATTTGTAAACTTTCAAGGACTGATTTAACAATTACTAATAATGTTAACTCGAATACCATAATAATATAAAAAACAAAATGATAAATTAAGTATGACACTTGCTAACAGTGTTAAGAGAAGCAAATGCCAAGTGTTTTAAAGGAGACAAACAACAAAACATAAAAATGTATATAATTCAATTAACTAGAGATCAATGAAACTAGCGACCCTAACAAAACAACACCGGAGACTCCATAGACACTCACAAGCATTATCCTTGAGTTCCACTTAAATTTGCAAGGAAAGGGTAAAATTGTATAGCAGACCCTATCAAATATCATTCATCATCGGAATAGTTGAATTTTACCGAGTGCGAATTGAAATCGATCTGACCACCCCTGTACGATCCACGTTTCTTCTTGGTCTTCTCGTGCCGGAAATCCCTGAGTTTGACAATCAGAAGCATGCTTGTTAGACACCATCATGCTTGAGCATATACAAAATAACAAAAACCACCCAAACCACAGTAAAACAAACATATTCTGGTAGAAGATTAACACACTGACAGAGAGTGAACAACAATATAGTGACAGAAACAAGTGATTTTGCACCAATAGATACATACATCTCAGACATTTACACATACCTTCCTTTTACTTGACCTAGAACTTCTTGTGCTTTTGCTCCATATCCAGTTTCAGCACCATCCTGCAAGGATTGTGCAAGTGACCAAAATGCTTCGTATAATAAAAAAATAAACGGAGCATATGTTTGGATTAACCGAATGCGTGGAAAACAGAAGGAAATCAAGTAAGAAAACCATTCCTTTCTTTAATCATCTTAGAATAAGTATGGGGGATCTTTTTCTCAGAAGTCCCACTATTTAACAAACGAATGTTGTGTTGTGTTTCCTTTCTCTTACTTATTTTAGCTATCCAAACAAAGGAATAACATATCATTTCCTCTTATTTCCTTTCCCTTAAGAACCTCAATCCAAACATAAGCTAATGGAAAACAAGATATGGGGCAAGTAGTTTATACCTTTGCCCAGTATGAATTATCTTCAAGCCTGCTATCAACAAATACTAACTCCTCAACATTCACTCTTTGAAATGGTTTCTTTGGCTGCAATAATACAAAGCTGAATATTAGAACTCTTATGAGCCAAAGATTAAATGATTTTGCAATTATTATCATTATTACTTAACATCCTTGAAGTAAACTATTTCCTTAATAAGAGTCATTCAAAGATCCGAAAATCGATTCTCCCTCAACTCGAAACACCACTCATAGTAAAAACAACAGTCAAATCAGGTGTAACAGAGCAACGCACATCTACAGATGCTATAAGGTTAAGGAAGACCGTAAATAACATACAACATCGAAAACTATTAAGTCCAACCTCAAATGAACCCAAAAATTCCAACACAGAAACTCATGCAGCATGAAGGAAAAAATATGACAGGAAACACCAGATTGGAACATATTCCTTCAAATTTATTGAAGCTTCAGCTAGATAAATTAATATATTCAGCATGTGAAACATAATCTAAAAGAGGCCATATTTACTGTGTAAAATTCAAACATGACACAACAAGTCATATTCAAATTGCCTACTTAGCAACAAACACAATAAGCAAGGTATTTCAAGTAGAAACAAAAAAGAAAGGTTTAATTACAGTCTTTCTGATTACCAATTTGACTTCAGAGGCAGCAGTTTAATATACAAAGCTAATGGATGCTTGAGGTTTTTTTTTTAAATTGCATTCCAACAATTGCATGTGCAACACATGTAAACTCTGGGTTCAACATGATGAAGGAAAGTCCATGAGACATGCATTACTTTAAATCAAGGAAAGAAAACAAGAAAATTGAGTTCAGAACAGGGGCTCAATACATTGTTTGGTTAAAATGTCCAACAAAAAACAAATACATTCATGAACTTACTTGAGCTGAGCCATTTTGCTGCATCTTCGAGCTCTTTTGCTCAGAACGCTTTCCATTTTTCTCAATGTTTCCGTCCACCAATGAATTTAATTGTTCTTCTGTAGTTTCTGTCTTCCTACGTTTAGAGTCTTCAAAAGCATTTTCATTAACAGGTTCAGTGTTATGTA